TCTAGCTCTGCCCTTTCCGCTCCACCTCACCTCCCTCCTCCACCACTCCAGGCAGGTTTACTCTTCTTGTTGGTCTGGGGGCTCATTGCACACCCCTGTGATGCTGGAGCCTCTATATATAGATGCCTAGTAAATACTAGTAATCTGGGGACAGAAGGGGCCATGAGAAGGAGCAAGAAGTGGGCTAATAGAAAACCAAGTAAAATGGTAGCATAGACCCAGCAAGACTGGCTTGTGTTTGAACTGACTGGTCAGGTCAGCACAAAAACATTTTTCTCCTGGAAATCAAAAAGATGTACAGAAGGATTTGCACCCAGTCTATCCCACCCACATGCATAGGCATAGATGCATGTCTGTGCACATGCGCGTGCACACACATACATACACATCCCTTTAATCGGGGTAGGGTTCCTTCATTGGTATTGGGATGAGTCTCCAGTGAGCAGTGGCCTAGAGAAAGGACCCTGTTTTCAGCCCTCAAACAGGCAGATTTGGACCCTCCCCCCAGCAAGTATTGGGATTTCTCTTTAATGGTCTAAGTGACTGTGTAGTGTTCCAAAATGAACCAGATTCTTTAAACCCACTAAGGGCCATTGGCGGTGTGGGGTAGGGGTGGGGTGGAGCTGGGTGTACAAATGTCCTAGCACCTCCTGCATGCTTTAGCCAATCCCATTCAAGCAGAAGTAGACCAGAGTGAAGAATGCAATGCACCAGCCCATTCCATCAGCTCAACCTTTGTTTTCTTTGTAAGGGGACACTGCTTACATCTCATCCCCATTCCAGATCTCTCAGGTTTCGTCTGAATCTAGATCTAGATCTCGATTCTAGATAAATAAGTCTAGAAAAGTAAGATCCTCCATAAACCACCTCTTTTAGGTGCTTCATCTTTGCAGGAGAGTTGATATTGATGACCAGTGGAGTAAAGAGCAATAGCTTAGCACATCCTTGGTGACTAGTAAAACTGAAAGACACAAGAACTCATTTTTTCACATCCCAGAATGATGTGATAGGATCCCTGCTGCCAAAAACCATCCTTATTCAGAAAAGAGATTTTCATTTTTGTCACTAATATAATTAAACCTGGTTAGGGCCATTCTTTTGCCTTCTTCCATTTGCTTTTGCCATCAGGGTCAGTGGCTAGCAACTAATACCCACTACATCTGAAGCACCCAAATTATCCTAGGGGCTAAGCTAATATTTTGTTGTGAGAGACCATCACAGATAGAAAGAAACCGAAAGAGAAGTGTGCCTGGCCCAGCCTTGAGTTGCCTAGTCACCCTCCTTAAGTATTCAGCTCCCTGCTAAGGCTCCACATAACATGTCCAGTGCCAAGTTGTAGTAAACCTCAAGATATTGAGTGCAGTTGGTGAGCATGGATCGCAGGAGGAATGCCAAAGGTTTTCCCCCTTGTATTTAAGCTGCTTCAAGTTAAGGGACAGAGCTAGTTTTCTCATTTCCAGGGATTGCTCTGTGTATCTGTTAGCTTATATAAACTGGCTCAGACAATTCTATTCAGAAAGTGGCTACCATATGCCGGCACCATGACCAAAGACTAAAGTTCAGCCTCCTGCTTTCACTACACTGCTAAAATGTAATTTCATTTAACAAACATTTCTGTCGTGTCCAGTGCACCCTGCTAGACCCAGGTGGATATACAAAGACAAGCCAGAGTGATCTCTGCTCTCAAGAACCATTTACTGAGAGCCATTTAACCTACCTTATAGAAGAAGCTACTACAATGGTTATAATAACCATTGAGGGCAGCACACCATCATTGTTATTCATGGGTAGAACTCTTCCAGAGCACAGCATCACTCACTAGTCAATAACTGTGCTGAGAAAAGCCAAGCTGGTGCGGTGATAACCTGGTTTGTTGACATTTACTCCCTTCTCCACGCCCTTTGTGGGCCATGGGCCCAGGCGATAGAAGCCATGATTACACAGATTTAGTTCTGGAAGGGGGTCCCTAGAATCCCTGAGTCCAACCACCTCATTTTACTGATGAGGAAGCTGAATCCCAAGATGGTTAAGTGACTTGCCTAGGATCACACCACTAGTAAGTGGTTGAGGTGAGATTCAAACCCAGATCTTCCTGACTCCAAAGTCCAATGCTGCACATTACCTTCACACTGCCTCAAGTCTGTACCCTGTAGGAGACTGTCTCCTCTGTCTTCTGAGCACTTTGAGATGTGAGAGGAGACAGGAACAATTCAGGGATGATGCATGAGTGCCACATTCCCTGTAATTGTCCCATCCCTTAACTTTGCAGCAAATAAAACCTGCAATGTTTTCTCTTTATCTTACTCCTGGGCAGGAGCTTGTGATAGTATTTGAAAAAAATATATTTTTACTTTTTTTCCCCTTTGTCTTAGGTGTCTTCATACAAGTATCCAAACAAATATCAAAAAAGCATTGTTCTTCCCTCCTGTTTCTTACAGATGAAATTAGGGGAGACCAACGGGCCATATTTTTTCCTCCATTCCCGGATTCCAGTTCTGGTCCTTTAGCACATCACACCTTTGGATGTCAGTTGTAGTATTTTGCAGCTTGGAAATAAGGGCAGGGGTGGAAAGAGAAAAGAAAAAGAAAAATTGGGTTCCTGATGTAGAAATAAATCACTGAGGCGTAGCAGATTGTGCATTAAAATATACACACATACACACACACACACACACACACACACACACACACACACACACACAGGTACACATGCGCACACACACCCCACCCAACTTGGCTCTGATTGGATGGACAGCTAGCAATACAGCATAGTTCACTACCATCCATAACTTCTTTATAGAATCCCATGATGCACGACTTCTTTCAAAGTCACTGAGAGCTGGGCTGCAAGTCCCTAGGATGAGATGTCAGAGAGCAGCAGGTGGGAAGGTTTAGAGGTACAAGATCACCCTGCAGCAGAGCTGTGGAGCTGGTCGTTTTAGAAACAGGCTTCGAATGAGAGTCTGAACACCAAACTCTGACTGGTAAGATAGCCTGATCAAGTAGCAAAGGTACAGAAATGAATGGCAGTCAGGTCTGCTCTTAGTTGGGTTTAGACAAAACAAGAGAATAGAATTGTATTTTTTTTAAATGTTATCAGAATGAGAGTATTTCATTAAAAAAAATTTTCCACATTCTCAGGCAGTAGCTGACTGCCTTTGCTCAAGGAAGAACTAAAAAATGATGATGGTCTCTTGGATCTGTAAAGTGTTTCATTTTTTAAAAGCACATTCACATCTATTACCTCGTTTGAGCCTTACAATGGCTTGAGGAAGTAGATACTATAGGAATTCTTCTCCTCAGGGAATAAAAACAGGTCAAGTGGCTCACCCAGATCACATCAATAGGGAGTGGTAAAGCCAGATTTAAAATTGTTACCTTATCAATCTTAGACCAGAGCTCTTTCCTACATTCTGTGCAGAGTAATAGAAACATTAATAAATCTCTTGCTTTTTCTGTACCCTTTTGTTTGTACTTTTCAGTGTTATCTCTTGTTAGCTTTACATCAACTCTGAGAGACAGGGAGGAAAACCATCATGTTCCCCATTGTACAAATGGAGAAATTGAGGCCCTGGAAGGAGTACAGACTTACCAAAGATCATACAGCTGGTCAGTGTGAGAGCCAGCACTCGAACCCAGATATGAACCAGGCCAGGCCATGTATGAAAGGTAGTATCACCTACCAGCTGTCCTTTGGAATTAGAAGGTTGAATCATCATGACTATCAGCCGTACAATATTACCTAGTTATAATATAGATCCAGGCTTTTGGGCCCTTCACAGTGAAAAGGCTTTCTATTCTCACCTAAATTTCTGCTGTGACAACCAAGCCCCAGATGTAAATATTTCCAAATATCCCATTAGGGCTCACCATTTCATCATTGTGCCTTGGGACACACATACAAGCTGGAGTTTGGAACTGTTGTTTTTCCATTACCACCCAAACTAGAGTGACATGGACAAGTTCCAAGTTAGTGAAACTTAAAGCATCACTCTTTTGCTAGCCATTGAGCCTGTGATGTTGATACCGAGGAGATCGTGGTATTCCTTGATTACCCTCAGTGGAGTAGAAGTAAGGGGCTCTCTGAAGGAATTGCACATGGCACATGCATTCTGATCCCACCACCAGAGCACTTAGCCAACTCTAATCTGTGACGCCCTTGGATTTAACAGTTAGAAATCAATGTGTACCATGTGAGTAGATGTCATTTTTTTGAGTTGTCATATCATTGAAGGTTCTCTAACTTCAAATGTCCTAGAATAACAGCTACCATCACCATATATAGAAAGCCTGCCAGTTACTTTCTCTACACCTTGTTGTAAAGCCCAGGTACTGACCAGCTTCCCTTCCCTATCCTTTCTTTCCTCACCTATCACTCCCCATTGTCCTCCCTCCCACCTGTTTCTTCATCATCTTCAGTTTCAATTCTCCTTGTTTCTCCAGGCTAGAGGTGAATGAATTCATAAAAGGTGTACAAGTTGTCTGTGACTAGGCATGATTCACTAAGTCCATGGAAAACAAAAATAATAAATAGCTGACATTTTAGCATAGTGCTTGAAGATGCTTTATATTTGAACCTTACAAAAGCTTACAAAGAGTCAGGGACGATGGCGTACTTACAGTTCTCATTTTGCAGGTGAAGGAAACAATCTCAGGTTAAGTGCCCATGGTCTTGAACTGAGGCCTTCCCAGCCACAAATCCAGCTTCTCTATTTACTATACCACACTAAGTCTAAAGTGGAAAATCCAGCCATTGGCAGTGCTAGTCCAAATAACAAGACAGAGGTGTTGTATTTGACTTGTCCCTAGGTTCATCAGGGGCTACCAAGGGTCAATACTTCTAATTCTTAGGGGGTGGGAGTTTCTTCTCCTGGGGTGACCACTGAGGAAGTGAGGCACATGGAGCTCAGGGAGCTGGCCTCAGGCTACTCAGGGGTGAAGATGGAGGAGGGGATGACACTGAATGCTGAGAAGCTCCAACACCTTTGTTGTCTTTGCAGGTTTTGACAGAACTCAAGTCCGACAACCAGAGGCTGAAAGATGAAAATGGTGCCCTCATCAGAGTTATCAGCAAGCTGTCCAAATAGACTAATTCTTTGGAAGGGAAAGCACTTGCTGTCCCCCAGCTCCCATTTCCCTCTGCCGCCTCCTTCCAACCAAAAAGAGTCAGTGTTTGTGACTGAAGGACCCCTCCCTGTCCCACCACCCCAAACGTTTCTTTTTACTGCATACCCCGGATCTCATCTACCCCCTGTTTTAGGAGAGTTTTCATGGAAACATAATGGTGGTAATGAGAGATGGCCATCTGGGGCAGGGTGGGGTGCCTCTGGAAGCAGGCCCCTGGACCTCCCTATTGCTCGACCACTCTGTTCAAATTAGACTCAGTCCAGACCTGAAAGGCTTATCTCCCCTCACCAGCACCACTGCAGCTATAGTCTGGTCCATTGGCCCTGTGTGTGTTGGGGAGAGGGGGGTGGATCAGCATGAAGGCTGCCACCTGCTGGCCCAAGGATCCCATTGGGAGTGCCATGTGCCCACGGAAAACAGCCGGACTTTGATTTAATCACCAGACGACTGCCAGGGGCATGTTTTTATTACACTTGGGTGACAGTTGCTTCACAATGAGACTCTGTTCTCACCCTCCCAGGAAACACCCCTCCGTGGCGGCTACGTGACTTGTGTTTCATCTGTCCAGTGACATTGAAGAAGAACCTCAGCCTCCCCTTCCCCCTGTCTGGTCTGCTTCCCAAGGCCCAGGTGGCCTTGCTTCACTTACTGTTTTCTTCCTCCCCTTTTCCCTTCCCACCTGGCCGCCCATCCAGAATCCGTTTTGTGGCATCTGAGCTCCATTGGCCTTTGCTACTTAGAATGGCATTTTCTGAAGCTGTCAGGGGAAAAGAATTACCCTGTCAGCCAGCAGCACCTGCTCCCTCTCCGAGGGCTGCGTCATGTACCGTGCAGGGTGCACACAAGCACCTTGCCCATTATTCTAGATGCTATCTAAGAGGCTGTGAAAACCCCACTCCACCCCCATTCCAGGGAGGATGTTTTGTTTTTATTTTTCCTGCCAGCCTTACTTTGTGTCCCTGGTAGGAAAATAACCCAACACAAGGAGGCTCAGGGAGAGGGATTCAGGTGAAAGGCAGAGAGTGGAGACAAGTTGGAAAGAGGCTTAAGTTGTGTTGGTGGGGAATCATAACTTGAACTTAACAACCAAGAAGACTCAAAGCAGCTCATGGTGTTGCTGGGATGAGGACCGAAGGAACTAAATGTTGGAAGAATGTGGTGGTCAGCTCTTAGAGGGATTTCCATCTTAAAATCAGTGGGGAAACCACTTCGGAGAGAAGCAAAAAGAGAGATGGAGTGCCTTCAAACTATTTAAGTGAGTTACGATATAGAGTCTTAGAGCTGGGAGGGGCCAGAGGTCATTTAATCCAACCAACCAGCCAATGCTTCTACAACTTCTTGGGCAGAACAGATGATTGATCATCCTCTACTTGAACACTTCCAGTGACAGGAAGCTCACTATAAGAAAGTGTGTTCCATTATTAGCTAGCTTGAATTTTTAGGAAGTTCTTCCTAAATCTAACACTATGTTCCACTCATTGATACAGTATGCCCTCTGGAGCCATACAATTAATCTAATGTTTCTTCATTACAGTCATTTACCTATTTGAAGACAATTATCATGGACTTACCCCTCCCCAGATGTCTTCTCTATGCCAAATATCCTTCAACTGTTCCTCCTGACAGTTTCCAGGCTCTTCGCTCTCCTGGTCACCATCTCCTAGGCGTAATGCTCTTGATGTGGTGTGACTAGTGAAGCATATGGTAGGACTATTACCTCCCTTGATCAGGGCACTCTGTCTTTATTAATGCAGCCTGAGAGAGCGTTAGCTGTTTTAGTAGCTGCATCACACTGTAGGCTCATATTGAGTTTCTGGTCAATTAAAACCACCCCTGGTCTTTTTCACAGACATGACTTTGGGGGTGCCATCCTTGATATATAAAATTCAGTGAGTTTTCTTTCGAGTCCTTTCTCATGTATACTGCCTCTCTCCACTCTGAGTCTCCTCTTTTCATCAAGGTAGAGATACTCTTTGTAGGTGTATGAAGCATCTAGCAATCAGAAGTTACATTTCAAGAGTTTCAAACTTTGTCTTCCTCGCCAAAACTCAGTTTTTGTGGTCTGCAAAGTGATGTGTTGATTCCTTTTCCAACCATTGTCAAGGAAAGCTATTATTCTGTGATATTTAGGTGACATTTCAGAGTTGTGAAAATATTCACTTCAGGGTAATGAGTGAGATGAGTTGTACTATAAAGCATTTACTTTATTCTCATCAATGAGATAGCCTATAGAGTCATAAAAGACACTGGAATGTTATCTAGCCTTGTTTTGGTCATTTGGGAAATTCTAATAGTATCTCCCCTAGGAGAAAAGAAATCAAATTCTTCAAATATCTCTGGCCATCTCAATAGAGTGAGATCAAATAGGACTGCTTAGATTTTCTTATGTTGGTGCAGTCCCCCTCAGTTGACATTTCCAGAAACCTCCCTCTTGTCTTTTCTGACTGTAGGGTATGTCTGATTCCCTCTTTGACCTTCTAACCCCTCCTTCTAGCTTCTACCTGACTTTGTCAAAGAGAACTAGGTATACCTACTTGGTTTTCTGAAGCCACTGGCAAATATTCAGCTTTTCATGCAGCTCACTACCAGCCCCCAAACACATATGCTTACCTATTCTACATTGCCCTTCAGGAACGACAGACTCTCCATTAAACCTGGGGTTTCTGTGAAGCAAAGAGTACCTGAGTTAGTTTAAAAAAAAAAACAAAACAACTTCTTGGTTTGAATGAGAAAGCTACTGAAATGAAGGTAAACAAGGGGGCCCACAAGGCTGTGCACTCTGCTGCATTGCCTCAGACCCCAGTCACCCTCTTAGTCACCACTACCACTCTTACAGAATTGTGGCAGGGTGCCTTTGAATCCTATCATAGTGTCCACTCAGAAGTAGCAGCATTTCAGTCTACATCACTTCTTGCTGCAAATTGGACTGAATAGGTGACAGTGGTAGCATCAAAAGTGGAGGGCATCTGTAAGCCCTCCCTTGGCAAATAAATGAAAATTTCAGCAAATATTAAGTTCATTTCACAAGGCATGGTGCCTAGGGCCAGGTATACAAAGACAAGAATGAGAAGGCCCCTAGACTAGTATATTGTAGGAAGAAATGATGTAGAGAAAATTTTTTTGGATTTTACTAATTCTTCATCCCCACTATCCTGATACATCTCAGGGCATTGCCCCCCAATATATTTGCCTACTGACTGACCCCACTGGCTTCAGTCAGTCTAGATGAAGCAGGAGTCTTGTGTGTGAAGAAAAGCAAGTTGAGAGATGACCTGGTTTGTAACCCTAGAGGCCTTCTTTGGCTTCTGGATTTCTGTCAGGTTAGCGTTGGCATTAAGATATTGCCAGGGTTTTATCAAATTCTTGGCCCCCAACTCCAGCTAGTGCTTGATTACCTTGCACGAGCCTTGCAGAGATGGCCACAGTCTAGCACAGATGCAGTCCCTTTGTACCAAGAAATGAAGCAGCATTGAGAGAAAATGAAGACAACCACACAGAAGGCATTATTATGGGGTTTTGTCAGAGAGCACGTAACCTTGGACGTGATATTTCTGGGCCTGTTTTCTCATCTGTAAAATGAGGGAGGTTCACTAGATGATCTCACGCACCAAGAGTCTATGACAATTTTTAGATTAGAACATTTTTCTATCAGCAGAACTGCTGCTGTTTGTTACTTGGAAAACTAAAGCACAAGAGCATCATTGTTTTCTTCCGAATAGGAGTCTTCAGCGTCAGTGGGTCAAGACTGGCTTGTCAGCCTCGTTGGAAAGTGAATTTAATACTGAGAGTGATTGAATGGTGCTACATTCGCTTTTCCTCCAAATGGCTCCATAAGAACATTACAGCCTGTGGAGGGGGAAATTGAAGCTTGTGACAAAGTGGACAGAAAGCAATTTGTGGTGAAGTTTTAATGGGAAATGGGGGTAGCTCGTTGTAGGTCTGGCCCACCACCTTCCCAAGGCTTCTCACTTGGTTTCCACTGTTCTTAACTCCAGGCCCATAGTACTGCCTGACATACTCCACAGTGTATTCTCCGAGCACCAGCTTTTTCACAAGTGGACCGAAGTTCTACAGCAAAAAGGGAAAAGTTTCACTCTGCACATGCCCTCAGTTTGGGTTCCTTAGAGCTTAGCTAGAGTCAGGACTGTTTGGTGTGAGAAAGGAGTGGCTGAGGTTTTGTTCAAAGCAATTTCCCATGAGAGTAGATGGTTTGTAAAGGAGACCACTGGGTCAGTAAGAGTTGGCAAACAGGCAGGAGGGACCCTGTCTTACTGAGCACCAGCTGTCTTTAGCAAATTGCTCCACAGAGTAAGAGATGGAAGTGCAATGAGTAGGCCCGAAGGTTGGAAACCCTGTAACAGAGTTGCCTGTGTAGGCACACAGGAGGCATACAGAAGGAAGACCTAGACAGTGGGATTGAGGATTGCAATGAATGGAGGCTGGGGCTGACACTGAAAGAGAGGTTAGCCATATAGAATTAAAGCTTCAGCCTGCAGTACAAAATCATTGTTCTAGATTTTAATCAGCTTACTTAATGGGTATTGACACTTTAGGAGCATCAGCCCAATATTGTGGCTGCTATTGATCTCCTGCATTCTGATTACTTTGGAAAAACAGACCAACTTCTTCCAGCAGCCAAGGAACTGTTAGTATCACAGCTATCAACCAGTAAGGCAGTTCACTGGAGAAAAATCCCAGTAGGAAACTTTGACTGCCCACCTGAGAGGAGCTACCACTTGACTTTTGGGAGTGGTGGGCAAAGAATGACCCCTGCCCATTCTGCAGGTCACTTAGGATCAATAGCTGCTCCATCCTCAAAAAAGAGCTGCTGATAAAATCTGGTTGGGGAAGGCAGAGATTTGGTTTTATAGCTTTTCCATTAATGATTGTTCTGACTTCATCTAAGATACATTAGAAGTTTTAAGATTGTTCTTTTATCTATAACATAAGGGTTTGGGAATTGCTGAACTGATGTCAACACTGTGCAAAGATGTGGGACACTCAGTTGGAGATGTGATTATAGGATGCCATTATCTTCAGTGGTCCCAACAGGTTCTCTTCTTATCCTCAGCTCTTCAAGGAACTATCTCGGGAGCCCTCCCCCCCGCCCCGTTTTGATAATCTCTTCACCTTCTTTGGACCATGGAGGTGATGTCATTTGAATTATCTCTTCTCAAATCCTCCCTCATTGCTCCCGTGAATTCCCTTTCCCCTTTTCCAATGTCCCCTAAGGGTTACATCAGGACACTCTTATGTCCGTCAGGAGCTATTAGCTGTCCCTTTCTCTTTCTTCTCCATATTTGCCTCCTCCTGTCGTAAGGCTTTTGAAGTGAATGTTCGTTTGGGGAAGGAGCTTTTCAAAGAATGCAGTGAGGTGGAAGATGAATGCCATGTAATGCCGTCAGCTTCAGGGGCCCTGATGTCTTAATGGGCTAGGGGCTGAGATTGAACCTGTAGGGCTTTTGTTCAGGATATCCTCCAGTTATGTCTAGGAGGGCCACAGAACTATGATTCCAGACCTTTTTTTTTTTTTCCCCCCAGGGATCAGTGCTAAATATGTCCTGGACTCTCCTTAATTTCCCTGTCACTCTTTTAGCGAAGCCAGTAAGGGCTCATGGGTAGCCATGGGAAAATAAAGATCATTCTCCAGTTCATCCAGGTTTTGTCCTTAGTAACTCAGCTGTTTCTCGCTTGGTCACAATGTGTCAGGATCCGGTTGATACCCTCCAGCTCAGTGGATGAAAATCTGACTGAGGGCTGGGTCCATCTTTTGTCAGTAATTCGGTGCATACCTACTCCAACCAGGTTGGAGGATTCCAGGAGTGATTGTCAGAGGGAACCTAGTTGTCCTCAGTGAACTGTATTCCCTTCAGATATCCGAGGGAGGAGACATCCTGACGGCTAAGAGGCTATGGCGAGGACCATACTTAGACTGGGACACCCTGCCATGCAGATACAAGCCAGACCCCTGCTTTTATTAAGGCTTCTTTGTCCCTCCCTCACAAACTAGCAAGCCCAGGAATAGAAATTCTAACCAAGCGTTTGATGGAGCACAGGAAAAGGTCTGAAGCTGGTTGTTAACAAGACATCAATGGGAATGGCTAGAGAAGCTCCTGAATGAGGCCTGAGTATTGTCCAGGCCCCCATAAACCTCCTTCCTTAGCTCAGTCTGGTAGCCCTTCCCCTAGCTGGTCGCCCTAAGTAGTGCCCTGATTCCCCAGACCATGACTGGAATGGGCTTTCTTCTCCCCCTTCCCATTCTGCCACCCAGGGAGAACACAACCCCTTCCTCCCCGGTATGATTTGGAGATAGGCTTTGTAGCTTTTCTGCTTTTGTTCCTCCTGCCCTACCTAGATTAGAATGATGGAAATGGCCAGAATCACTTGGACAGCTGCACTACCTTCCTGCTTGGAGGGAAGCACTCTGTATCTTCTGCATCTTTTCATCCCTTAACCCTACTTCCACCACTGTTAAAGCACTGGATATAACCATTTTTTTTTTCAGCTGAATTGTGTGGACTAACTTCAGTCAACTGTAAATACACTGGGGGGGAGGGGGGGAGGGAAAGGGAGGGGATGTGGGCCTCTTGTGACCCGAATGTATTTTTATGCAAATTTGAGTGGCCTTTCAACCCTGAGATGAATGATTTTGTTTTACTGGTTGTCACTATATAGTATTATTATGTGTTTGAAAGTTTGAGATAATAATATTCACATCTATATGATGCCTGTAAACACAACAGTATTTATAAATGAGTAAATAAAACTGTGTTTTAACTTTGCATCTGTATCTGTCCTGGGTCTTGGGTTTATAGGATCTTGCATCAGGGAAGAATTTGTTGAGTATTATTTCATTGATTCACCTGCCTCCATTCAGGAACATCTAGGCTCCCCCTGACAGATGGGGACAGAAATGAATATCATTCTCCCATCCATTTTAAAGGCTCTCGGGAAATTAAAAGGCCAGGAGAGGCACCTGTGCATACGAGAAACACTCAAAGGGAAAATGTTACCAAGACCAGAGTAGCTTGAGGTGTTTGAAGCAAAGGAGCTGGATACTTTCTAGCTGGATAACGTGAGGCCCAGAGAGGGCGGCCAAGTGGCTTGCTTTCCCTAGGGTTATTTGGAAAGCTTTCACTAGTCACTCTAAAGCTTTTACCTGTTTATACTAGACTTGGACAATTTAACAAATTCAACAAAATGATTGTCCACTACAGGTAAAGGACTGTGCCATGTGCTAGGGATGCAAAGACAGGAATGAGAAGCAGCCCCATGACCTTGAACAGCTTATGTTCTCTTTCATAAGTCCATTGCTTAATTTAGGAGATCCAAATTCCCTGCAAAAATAACTGGGGATGGAGGCAGGAGGGGGTCAGAGCAGAGAAGAGTGGTAGGGATGTTTGTCTCAAGGCAGACTGTTGCATCCCACCCCTACCCCCAGCCTCCCACCTCTCACTTCAGGGGTGGTTACTACCAAGGTGGTACCTTCTAGGTGGCCTGGATTTGACCTGCCTCAGCAGAAGTTAAGTTCCAGCACCATCGCTGGCTTTTTTCAACCTGTTGGTTTCTACCAAGTGGAAATCCTTGGTCACTGCCTTGGAGCAAACAGTAGTTGGACCTGGAAGGAAAATTCCTTTCCCCTGCAGTCATGCTGTTTGAGGCCAAAGTAGCAGCCTGCTTTGCACACATGATGTCATAGTTGAAAAGTTCAGGCCTGGTCAGAAAAGGGGATCCTTGACAACAAAATGGGGAGGGCAGGATGGGGGGCTAGGGGGAGGAAGAATCTTTGGGTGTTACTGAAGGCAGCCTAAGTCCCTGAGTGAATGTTGGGAGCCCCGAGTTTTAATTCTACCTCTGATCCTACAATACTGGGAGTGTAGAGGAGTTGCTCCATCTCTGGGCCGCTCTCTTTCACTTTGTAAAAGAACAGCCTGAGCGCTTTTCTTAGAATGTGTATACTTCCCAGGAATGTGGCAGAGGCTCAGGCCCGGCCATGTCATTCATCCACCAGCCTCTCAGCGGAAAAAATGCCTTCTCTTAAAACCTCCACACGGGCAAGCGGGATTTCACAAGCAGGAAATTCTCTTATCAGTCCTCTGTGCTGGTGATTAAGCTTGCTGCACCTTGCCTTACCCTCTCCTGAAACAGGAGTTCATCACCATTCAGATTTCCTCGGCCCAGCCCCAGGGAACATATGTTGTTTGTTGTCGGTCATTTCAGTGACATCCAATTCTCTGTGACCCCATTTGGGGTTTTCCTGACAGAGATACTGGAATGGTCTGCCATTTCCTTCTCCAGCTCCTTTTACAGATGAGGAAACTGAGGCAAACAGGGTGAAGTGACTTGCCCAGGATTACACAGTTAGTATTTGAACTAGGCTGAACTTGAACTAGGGAAGATGAGTCTCCCTGATTCCAGGCCCAGCACTGTGCCACCTAACTGCCCCAAGGGACTATATACTATCCTTTTATATCATCCCTTTCCTGTGTTTTCCCATATCCTGTATTGTGATGGTTGGTTTTTCCCTGTAATCCCTCTTCCTTTATCAGTCAATGAGTTGGTATCAAAGTATCTGAACTCCAGGGAGCCCTTAGAGTCATGTTGCACTCCTCAATTACCTCCCCCCACCACCACCCCACCAATGCCCAAACAAAAACTCTCACTCCATTGGGTGGGAGTAGAGGGTGGGGATGGCGTGAAGACGGGATCCATGAACTGGTTTGGGACAAGAGGTGCTCTAAGCAACTGAGGCAGCCTCATTGTAATCTTCATGCAAAGACCCTCCCCTGCCCTCCTCCTTCCCCTGGCTGGCTTTTTCTCAGCTGGAGAGTAGTTCTGCCATTTCAAGATAATTAGAATCTCACAGCCCCATTCCAGGACCAGGGGCATGGAAGATGCTCAGTGTAAATTCTCTAAATGGCAGCAGCAGCAGCAGCTGCTTCAATGACATGCTAAAAATGAGAAGGTAGGAGGGGATGAAAAGGGAGCCGAGCAGGGACTTAGCCATTTCTTGGAACCACTTTTGAGATCCTGCACCTGAGCCCCAGGTCTTGCACAAGGTACCCTCATACCTTGCTACAGGGTAATCAGAAGTCATTTTTTAACTGAAGGTTCAGAAAAAATCCTCCACCCCATTTCACTCAGATACAGCTTCCCTTGGTTGACTGGCCACACCCTCAGCATTGGCTGTAGGTGTCCTCATTCAGCCTTGGCCCTCCAAGGGGCTGCTTTCCCTCCACCCCTAGGCCCTCAAGAAAAAGTTTGGGCCACTGAGTAAATGCCAGAATGCTTCATTGGCTGTCCTGACGTCCCTGCCCTCAGCCATACACTCCAACATGTTTATCCATTCCCCTTTCCTTCATCAGTGGAGAATAGGCCTTGTGTGGGTCTTGCTGCCCTTCTCTGTGGGTCTTGCTGCCCTTCTCTGCGGTTCCATTCCTCAAGGTGCTAAGCAGTAGACTGTTCACCCCAGGGCCTCAGGACCCCATCCCTCCGCATCCGCCATCCCTTCCCCCTCCCTACCCAGCAAGAACAGACCAGAGGCTCCCCCCACCCCCAGCGTTCTTTCAGCTCATTTCTTTAATAAGGAGACGCAGCTCTTTACAAAATAACAATTTGACAAGAAATCAGACAAAAACAAGAGTCCACACTAGGGAAGGGGGACATTGCCAAGCTTGGGGAAAGGGGGAAAAAGAGAGGGCTGGGACCTGATAGGTTAAGGGGCAACATCTGTGCATTTATTTTTCATGTGAGACAAGGTTAGGGAGATATCTGATGAGGATGACATCCAGTGACCAGCTGGGGTAGGGGTGGGCAATGAGGTATCCTTGGGTCCACCCCAGCTCTGGTTCTGTAGGTCTCAGGATATTCAAGAAGAAGCAAGCCAGTTTCCTGGATTGGGGATTGGGGGTAGTGGTTCAGATTTCTCTAAGGAACAGTTGTCGGGACTCCAGAGCCCTAACCCTCAAGGCAGATTGGATGGAGATGTTCACCTGTTCCCCAGATCATCTTTTCACCCCAGCCTTCTTTATAATCCTACTATGTCCATTTCCAATCAACTCTGGATTTGAGAAGTGGGAAAGTTCTCTCCACCCACCCAAACTGGGCTAGAGAGGGACCAGGTTTCTCTCCTTTCCTCTCCTCTCTCTCTGCTGTTACCACCTATCTTCATCCCCACCCATGAACTCACCTCCAGGAGTGAGGAGCGAGGTCCCATCTCCAGCCTGCTCAAGAGTGGTAATTGTCTCTCCAGCTCCTGCCACAGCCCACACTTGGGTCAGATCCTGGAAGCTCTTCCTCAGTGGGGTCGTGGCCTTCAGTTTTTAAAGAGATAATACCTACCTAGGTCCACTGTTAGCTCTTGCTCTCTCTACCTATCAGAGTGGGATGGGTGAGGGCACATGGGAGTGTGAGCTAACCAAAGAAGGCTTGCTAGCCCAGGGCATCCAGGCCTCTGGATGGAGCTCAGCCACTCCCGTTGCCAATAATTTGTCATGCCTTAACCCTGCTAGGGACCCTCGTGGTCACTGCTTGGCTCTAATAGTGGCTCCTGTTGTATGAAGTTGCTGAACCCAGAGCTAGGTAGCCCACGTTCCCACCTAAGCTATTTGTCACACCGTGAACTTTCCAACCAGAGCATCCAGGGCCTTTCTCCATCTCTCCCTCTCCCAGTTTAATGGAGTATCAGTGTCCACACCTTCTCCAGGATGTAGTTTCTTTGTGAGGCCCTTAACCAAAGGATAGGTTGAAATTACTTGCACTCAGTCCCCTCCATCTCCTTTCTTTCTAAGCCTCTCACAATCTAATCTACCCTGCAATACTGACTCCTGCCCCGAGCCCACTCTGAACTTGGGCTGCCCTGACTAGCAGGAGTAATTCCTGCCTTTTGGACAGTGGTTTTTGCAATATTTTATCAAGTGTTTTCTCATCCATTACTCCATCTAAGCCTCATACTAACCCTCTAAGGTCAGCAAAGAAGGGACTTTCATATACACACACATTTTACAGAGAGAGAAACTGAGGTGGGTGGGGCAATAACACTGGCTTGCTACTCCTGAAGAACTGACCTTGTTCCCCAAAGGGATGGAGATCCAGAGTCAAGGAAGGGATAGAACCAGAAACCTTGACGCCACAGCAAAAGGAACCAGCTGGTTCTGGAGCTATCCAGAGATCATTTGCTGAGGACCCAAAGGGAAGTTGTGAAGACTTCGTTTGATGAAACAAGGTATGGGAGAGGGGATGGGGGCAGTCGGTGAGCCCTTCACAAGTAGCTTCAGGAAACTCACTGGAAAAGACACTGGGGACTAGAGGGCAGGTGTCTGACAGGCCGGCCCTATTATGGCTTATCAGTTAGTTCAGACATTGGGGACGGACGGATACATCACACATGGAACACAGAAGCCACATTTACACTAAATATCAGATCAGGGTACAGTGCAACAAAACCCAACAAAGACAGACGAGAGATTGGGAGGGAGAGGACAGGATAAGGGGCAGGAGAGGATAAGAGGAGGGATTTTCTTTCTTTTTATATGGGGCGCATGCTCAAAAGGCCAGCTCCCCACTTAGAGGAGGGCTCGGTCACATGATAACCACCAAATGGAAGGTTTTCTCTTTTAGGGGTGGGAAGACAGGACTCATTCATACCACATAAAAAAATGAAGTCGTAGCCTTGATGGGTTCTGTAAAATGGCTGTGGATCAGTGGGGAGAGAATCTCAGCATTGTCATGCGGCTATTTACAGAAGGCTTATTAACATGCACCTTAATTAAACGTCTTGTTCATATGTATATTATATATATAATCTTCTTTTATATATATATTACTAAACACAAACAGAAAGGGCATCAGATGAGGCTCAAATGGCTTCAGTTGGTTCAATTTTTTTTTTGTCCCTTAAAAAAATGAATTATATTTTTGTGTCTTCAAGTCACAGTGTCCCCTTCTCAATATTGCAGTTTGAAAACCACTTTTAAGTGAAATCCTTAGTGTTCAGTCTTTGGCCCTCCAGGGGAGAGGGTGGTGGAGAATGTGGAGACAGAAAGGTAACAAGGGGGTGCCTAGTCACCCCCTCCCAACGGAGCCAGACTTCCAGGCTCCTCTACAGAATCTCACTTAGGACAAAGTGCCTTCACCTTCTCTCCCAGCCTGCCCAGTGCTCTAAGGACAGGACTCACACAACCTAGCAGATGGTGCGACAGTCTAGCTAGGGACTGAGGAAGGTTGAATTACAGAGGGTTGTTCCTGGGCTCAAATATGGGGGACCTTTGGTAAATGGGAATAGAGTTCACTATAAGAATGGGTCGGACCTGGGCTATTTACAGACCATGAACTGTCTTAGGGATCTGAATGACTAGGAGAAATCTCTTCCTTCCCCCAGATGTCTAATTCTAAACTCTACTCCCACAACCCTAAGAACACAGTGGTAAGAAATCTATTCCCCATTCAACGGAGGCAAACTAACTCTTTCAGGAAACCTTAAGGCAACTATGTTATCCAACTCTCTTCCCTCAGTTTCTGCACTAAAAGAACCTTCCAAAGGTCAAATCATCCATCTCTCCCCACTCCCTAACCACCTTTGGAAAGGAGAGTCTGGAGTCTAGAGGTACTTCCATCTTTCTCTATTGACTGGGAGAGGAAGAAAGGGTGCAGAACCCCATCCCATGCCCCAAGTTGCCCTGGTCTGAGTCTGACTAGATTTGTGGTTCCATGCCCCCAGCCTTCCAAAGTTCTAGACTGGGTAAGAAATTCATATATTACTTATCCGATTAGAAAAATGGTTCTTTGAGTTAGGATAGGGAGTTAGGGTTTCCCATGGAATTGGGGGGAAAATAGACTTTGAAAATAATGAAATAAGGGGGATGGGTTAGGTTTACTGAAGTCCCTATGAGGAGGAGGGGTGGGAGCTTCAGTTGTCTCTCAAACCCGGGCTGCCTAAGAACACTTACAGGTCCTACTGGCTCCCTAGAGCCTTCCTCTAGCTATGAATCCAACACCAGTCACATACAATACCCTGAGTCCCCAGAATCAGATCTAAATGGAAATGAGCATTTTGAATAGTGCCCTATAGCCTGAGAGGACAGTAATCCTCACTACTGGGAAGTCCACAAGCTCTCGCATCCATTTCTAACCACCCCCCCAAAAAAAACCCCAAGACTAGCAACAGGTGCCAATCTGCTTGGTTAGCTTCCAGCCTGAGAGAATGACCACTCCTCCTCCCACTTCAGGATCCTCCCTGGCTCTTCAGGAACCGCTTGACAACTGACTGCCCATTCCTTCTGTCTCAGGGGATCAGATCTGGCTTGGTATCAAGAATCAAATTCACTCTATTCTCATTCAACCATTGAGGTCAGCTAAGAGGAGGGAAGGGACTCCAAGGTCTCTAGTCTGGTTGCCTGGCCTCTGGGCAGGTGGATGTCCAGAGTGGCCAACATGCCTGTTTTTTCTAGGCTTCTTATGCTGCAGCGCTATTGGAATTGATGGACGAATAAGGGGGAGGGGGATGGAAGGTACTCTAAAGAGACTGGATTCCTCAGTGAAAAGAGGAAGTCCAGAGAGGAGGGGGAAATGAGAGAAAAGAAAAGAAGAAAAAATGAAAGATAAAGGAAGAGCTGATCAATGGGCTTAGGTTGGGGAGGGGGGGAGTAGTTGGAGGGAAGGAAAGAGATGCTTAGAAAGCCCTAAAAATGTTAAATGCCTCTCCGCAGGAAGGAAGAATCTCATGTCCTTCCCATCAAACCAACATGTCTAATTCTCCTACCACTGCCCCCATGATCACATCTCTGGTCAGCAAAGACTAAAACCCATTAACCTTATTACAATCCAACTCTTCTTTCATTTAAAAAAAATAGTCTCTAGTATAAAAATAGCCTCCTAGCCACCAGGGAACGCTAGCAGAAAGCCTGATGCCCTCTTCAAGGCAGGGAGGCTTGGTTCCTGCTTCCCAGGAAGTATCCCTCTTCATCTGCTTAACAAAAAAGTAACTTTATGTCCATCTTCAGTGAAACCTAGAGATGTGACATGTCCTCTTCTCACCCCACTCCCACCCCTATATCTGGATTCCTTCCAGTTCTCCCCCACCTGGCTTTGTAGGCTGGGGAAAGCAGTTGTGGCCATGATCGGATGAGACAGGAAGTTCTGCCATTTTGTGCTACTCAGAGGGCATGCTTCCTGGGCCAACGGTGGCTTTCTCCTGCTTAGAAAAAAAAAAAAGGCTTGGGGTTTGGAGGGATATGAGGCAAGAGGGACCTGAGGTCCCTGTGCTTCCTTTGGTGGGTGGGAGAAAGGTGATACTGATCCCACAGGGTTGTCAAAACTTGCCTCACCTTTGCCCACTGTGGAGAAGGGGTTGGAGGGCCTGGGAGGGGACTCAGTGCAACCTTGGCTAACAAATATATGGCTTTTATCAATGCTGTGAATGAGGAGTTAATGGGAACAGGGCCAGGGCAAGGCAAGAGGGCAGTTCCCCCGGCAAGCTTCCAGTAGTCCATTTGGAATGAATGCTCCTGTGCTTCTGGGAATTCAGAGAGGAGCAGTCCTATAAAATTCTAAGCCAGGGGACTCCCTTGCAAGTCTCTCTGCAGACCCTCCACATAGACATAACCTCTCCCTTCCCCGAATACAGAAATGAAGGATGGGAAAAATAACCTAAGGAACTAGAGAGGAAAAAAAATCCCAATGCTGGCTTTTATCTCTCACCAGGAAATCTCTGCTACTCAGACCAAAAGTGTCCACCAGCTATGTCTTTCTCGCCTACCCCCAATTCTTACCTGGATGGACCTCAGGGACCTAAGATCATTTTAACCTTTGTTTTCTGCTAAAGTTCTGTGGCTCTGCACCAATTACATATCTTCACACCAAACTTGTGTCATTTTTAAAAGGCAAAGCATGATGGGAAATAGATGCAAATCAAACTATATGCCTTTTCTAGAAGGGGACCAATATCTGCCTTATCCTCTAAGGGATGGAGAATTATGGGCTTTGTCTTTTTTTTTTTTAATCTTTCTGGGAAACAGAGCCTCTGTCTCTTGATGGTCTGTTGCTGCTGACAAATTGGGAGTGAGTTCCCCAGACTGGTGGCCCCTCACCAAGCCAAGGCAAGTTTCATAGAGCAGGTTACTTGCATGACTACTCCAGAAGGCTAATTTTTGGAAGAGAGAAGAGCTGGCAAAGGTCCATGGTGGCATGGGGAGGGAGGGAGGGAAAGGGGGTTTGGTCCACGCTCTGGCCAAATTCAATCTTCACAACCTGCCTTTTCCCAAGTAACTACCCACGTTGAATATTTGGATTTCTGATATTCAGGCTACAGGTAGATCACAAGACTCTGGGATCCTGGGCCCTTTCCTTTCTGAGTTGCAGCGTCCCTGAAGGATCTCCTCTTTCCACACCTTCTCAACGTCCTTTCTTGTTCCAGAAATAAATGGAGAAGCTCAAGGTCATTCACTTGATCCACTCATTACTCCGAAGCTGAGCTCCTCATACGAACAGAGATGTACCCAGGCTATTACAGCACTCCACTGGCACGTTGCCTCCCCAGGGCCCTCTCCATAAGTCAACATGCAGGAAACTGGATGTGTTAACATTTTGTTGGTCCAGAACATTTAAGAAACAGGAAGTGCCACCATTTTGTTGGTCCCAAACGTTCATGAAACAGGAAGTGCCACCTTTTGTGGGTCTACCACAAGAGGCCCCAAAGGTGGAGTTTGAGCGAGGCCTTGAAAAAACAAGGGGGAAAACAGAGAGGGCATGCAGCACAGAGCAGCTATGGGGAAGAATGAAAAGAGCCAGCCTTCTCTTTCACCTATTAGGGGACTCTCCTTGCACAGCCAACAGAGGGAAATTTGTCTTTAAAAAAGGAGAAAAAGAAAAGAAGGAAAGAAAGGAGATGGTGACAGACCGAAAGAATACTCTGAAGTTGCATAACTGAGGTATTGAGAGCTCTGGGTCTTGTCAGCGTTCATCGGGTGGACCCAGGCTCAGAGGCCGCCTATTTGTTCTTGCCCAGGAGGGCATCCACCTCCTCCTCGGGTTTGAGAGAGTGCCACTGGGCGATCGGCCTCCGGGGGTTGGCCAGCATGTCGGACCAGTGCCGCAGCTCCGTGCCTGTGGCATTGCAGCCCACGAAGATCTTGCCGATGGCTTCGTTCTTACCCAGTTTGTCGTAGTCCAGCACTGTGACCACAACCTGGACTTTCTGTGAGAGAAACAAGAAGGAGATGGGTTTGAGGGCCACAAAGGAGTACCCGTTGATGGTCCTGACTCTCCATCTCTGCTCCAAATTGCAGAGCTCCCTGCTCCCTAAGTGACACAGTGGATAGAGCACTGGGCCTGGAGTCAGGAAGACCTGAGTTCAAATCTGGCCTCCGACCAAACACTTGACACTTACTAGCTGTGTGACCCTGGGCAAGTCACTTAACCCCTTTCTGCTTCAGTTTTCTCAACCATAAAATAGGAATAATAATAACACCTACCTCCCGGAGTTGTTGTTTGGATCAAATGACATAATATTTGTAAAGCACTTAATATAGTGCCTGGTATGTAATAGGCACTTAATAAACATTTATTTCTTTCCTTCCTTCCTTTCTTCCTTCCTTCCCTCTTTCTTTCCTTCCCTCCTTTCTTTCCCTTCCTCCTTTCCTCCCTCTTTCCCTCCTTCTCTCTTTTCTATCCTCTTCCCTTCAATCCCTCCTTCCTTCTTTCCTTCTTTTCCTCCTCTCCCTCATTCCTTCCCTCCTTCTTGCCCACCTTTTTCCTTCCTTCCTTCCTGTATCTATCCCCTTGCCTCTGCGCAGGGTTGTATCCAACACAACCCCAGGTATATTGGGGGTGGGGGCAGAGCAGAGAGAAGGAAGCAGCCTCTCCTCTCTTCATTTCACCCATTTCTAGCCATCCTTACAGTGAAGAAGGCCTTCTCTACAGTTAATCTAAGGCCCAGAAACGTCCCAGTTCCCTCTTACTCCTGGAATGCTCAGAATGCCCTCCTTCTTCTCCTCTGACTCCCCACATCCCTAGTTTCCTTCAAAGCCCAGCTCAAGGACCACCTTCTACATGGGGTCTTTCCTGATCCTCGCAGCTGCTAGTTTGGGTGGTGGGTGTTGTTGCTGTTGTTGTTTTATATCCCTAGTGCCTGTTTTATTGCCTGGCATATAGTAGATGCTTAATAAATATTTGCCCATTGATTGTTCTGACTTTTCTGGAGGCAAAAAGGAGCATGTCACCATTTCCTTTTTTATTATTCTCATTAGATAGCCCCACAACTCCCACGCACAAACACAAACCTCTTCTGATTCTCATTTTGACCTTTTATTTGAGCTCCTAGGGGCAGGGAGGATGAGGAGGACATGATTTATTTTTCCTGGGTGGGAGACAAGTGCTACAAAAGGGAGAGGAGCTAGCCGAGGTCAGTGGCAGAGCTGGGGGCAAATTCCTGATGTCGCGACTCCCAGTCTGGTATTTGCTATGTATTTCTGACTCCACTGGAGTTCTTTGGCTCACTCATTGCCAAAAATAAAACAGTTCTTCCCAGAAGAGAAAAAGGAAGTTCACTTCAAATGTCTACAATGTCCTTAGGTGGCCAAGCTCATTCACCATCCTGGGCATCTGCCTGTCGGCAAAGTGAGGTCAGCTCACAGGTGGCCCCAAAGCACTGGAATTTACTCAGGTCACAGCCTGCTTTTAAGTTCTGGGAGGCATTAGTCCCTGCTCTGCTTAATTAAAGGGCTCCGTTGATATAGCACTGACCTTATTCATTTTCATTTTTTATTTATAACTGTAACCTGTAGCCCAGCATGACATTTTAACACCCCAACATTTGATTATCTCCTCCTTTCCTTCTCTATCCCAGCTCCCCACACCTAGAGAAGGCACGATTACAATCACGTACATGCACACAACCCTGAAAGGTTCTACGAAGCACTTCCCTCTTGATAGTCCTGTGAGTTAGATGGTGCCAGTATTGCTACAGATGAGGAAACTGAGGCTCACAGAAATAATAAAGGTCAGAACTGGGATTCAGACCCAGGCCTTTGGACTCTTCCCACATCACTACAAGCAGTAAATGGAAAGGGAAGGAAGAGTGGGGAGGAGAGGCAGGAAGACAGAGACAGAGAGGCAGAGGCAGAGAGAGAGAAAGAAACAAACAAACAAAGAGAAGAATAAGAGAGAACTGGAAGGGAAATAGCATGGGAGGAAGAAAGGAGGGGAAGGGGAGAGATAGCAAGAAAAGAAGGTAGAAGGGAAGAAGAAAGAAATAAGAGGAGAGAGGACAGATTGGCAGGCCAGGGTGGTTTTCTATGAAATCTTTTAAGAATGTTGCCATCTATCTATCCCTAGCAGGAAATGGGAAGCAGGAGTTGTTGCAGTGAGGCGAGGCAGGACAGGAGCAGGTTAGGGCAAGATATAAATTTTAAAATAATAATATTTTAAACATTAAAATAATTTTAAAATAATAACATGTATAAGCACCTTACAAAGTGCTTCACATTCGACAGATGAGGAAACTGAGGCTTAATTGACTTGTCCAGGGTCACACAGCTAGTGTCTGAGGCCGGACTCAAACTCAGATCAACCAGTTCCCTCTTAGGTCCTCCTCTTGGGTCTACTGTGTTGCAGCAAACCCATCCCTTTGCATACATAAATTAGTGCCCCGAGAGACCCAAGGAAATGATTTGGGGGGTTAATTCTCTAATGGAACTTATCTCCTCCTCATCCCCTACCTCACTTCAGAATAATCTGAAACACATCCCACTCTCCCTCCCTGCTTCCATGAGGAGCACTAGGAGATTTGGCCGCTGGTCTATAAGTAGCTTCCCTCAAACTATCCCAGATCTCCTCCTTTTGTGACTATCCCCAACCTGCACCGCAGGCCCAGAACCTGGCTAGGGCCTTGTCACCTGGATCTGCTCGAAGGGTATCTCAAAGCTGAAGGACTCGTTGAAGTAGGGATTCAAAGTCTTCTTCTTTACTGTGGTTTTCTTCTTCTTCAGCCTCTTACCATTCTGCATCAAGTGAATCTTCACGTAGGGATCTGCAGAAGGAGAAATCCATCACCATTCAAGGCTTCCTGACTCTTGTGGGTATTGATTATGGTTATGCTGATTCTTTCTTTCTTTTGTTGTTGTTGTTGTTTTGTGTTTTTTATTTTTAGGCAATTGGGGTTAAGTGACTTGCCCAGGGTCACACAGCTAGTAAGTGTCAAGTGTTTGGTCGGAGGCCAGATTTGAACTCAGGTCTTCCTGACTTCAGGGCCAGTGCTCTATCCACTGCGCCACCTAGCTGCCCCCTGATTATTTCTTAATAACAGTTATCTATGAATCCTCTCTGTCTCTCTCTCTCTGTCTTTCTCTCTCTCTGTCTCTGTTTCTCTCTGTCTCTCTCTTTCTGTGTGTGTGTGTGTCTCTCTCTCTCTCTCTCTCTCTCCCGTGGACTTGTAAGCTCCATGAGGTCAGAATTATGCCTCATGGAAACTTTTGTCTCTTCTCCCCAGTCTGTAGCATAATATAGCTCTAAATCTTATGATGCATTTGTATCTACAGTCACTTGAATGTGGATAGAAATGGATTCTAAGATTTAGAGTTGGGAGGGGTCTCAGAGACCATCTAGGTGAAGGGGTTTTTTTTTTTGTTTTTAATTGAACTTTATTTTATTTTTCAGTTCCTAAATCTCCCCCTTCCCTCCCTCACCCATTGAGAAAGCAAGAGAAACAAAACCCATTACAAATATGTATAGTCATTAGGCTATGAGTTCTTAACTCAGGTCTGTGAACTTTTTTATTTATTATTTTTGTGACTATATTTAAATAGAATTGCTTTCCTTTGTAATCCTATGTATTTTATTTTATGCATTTATAAACATTATTCTGAGAAGAGGTTGCTAGGCTACACCAGCCTGCCAAAGGGGTCCAGGACCCCCAAAAAGGTAAGAACCCCTGAGCAAGTCCAACTCCATTATCCAGGAAACTGAGGGTCAGAGAGAAGTATATTTGTCCAGTGCTACAGAGGTAGCAAAAATAAATAGAGCATAAATAAATATAAAATAATAATAATAAATAAATAAATAGAGTATAGGGATCGGATTTTGAAGCGCACGTCATCTGACTGTCTCTCTTACAATCTAAGCTTACCCATCAAGCGGCTTGCCACAAACTGAAGCCTGGAATCATAGATTTACAGGTGGAAGGGACCTAGGTGGTCATATAGTCCAATACCTTAGCTTGACAGTTGAGGACCCTGAGGCCATAGGAAACTATGAATATCAAGAACTCAGAGAACCATGGGAAAACTTACATGAATCAATGAAAAGTGAAGTAAACAGAACCAGGGAAAGCAATCTATATAATGACTACAACAAAGTAAATATTAAGAATAACAACAAGAAGAAACTGAATGCCATATGATTGTAGTAACCAAGCTTGTCCTTGAAGGAGAGATGAGAAAATTCATCTCTCTTTCCTCTTTACAGAGGTGGGATCCTATGGGTTGCATATGCTGTCTTTAAAATACGAGGTGTCCCAAAAGTCTCAGTGCAGTTTAAAGCTTTGTTAGCTTAGGTTAATTAAGCTTAGAGGTTGATAAAGTTAAGTTAATAAAGCTTAAAACTATACTTAAGTTAACTTAATAGCTTAATTTAATTAAGCAAACAAAGCTTAAAATTGTGCTTAAGACTTTTGAGACACATTGTATAGATTTTTATTTATATCTTTTATTTTGATTTTATTTATATCTTTTATCACCTAGAATTCCTCCTGTACCTTCCCCTCCCAGATAGCTATCCTTTATACAAAAGAAGTTTAAAAAAAAATTAAAAAGAAAAAAACAGAAAAAGAAAAAAAATTTGAGCAAAACTAGTCAACACAACCAAAAAAAAAAAAAAAGTTACAAGACCCACCCCTTTCCATTCTCTTCCCTGTCTTCTCTTCTACCTCCAATCCAGCTTGTCTCAAATTCTCCCAGAAATACTGAAAGCTAAATTCTTGGCTACTGAACAAACAGTTAGACAGAATCACAGAATTTGAGGGCTGAAAGAGACCTTAGCAGCCATCCAATCCAATCCGTACATGAAAGGAATCTTTACCAAAATACACCCTACAAGTGTTGGCACCCTGTCTCTACTTGAAGACCTCCAGGGAGGGGGAACCCCCTCCCTCTGAAGGGAGCCATCACACTTTAGGACAGCAAAGGTCTGTAGAATCCAAAACCCAGCCCCTGAAGGTAACTGCATGTTCTCTGCAAGCCCAATGAAAGTGAGAACTCTGTGGCTGAGCGTGGCTACCTTTTAAGGACAGAGTAGGACAGGGGAGAGATAGCTGGAGTCTGTCATAGAATAGAATTATAGGAGCCCAGGGTTGGAAGGGCCCTTAGAGGCCGTTCAGTCCAATCTTTACTATCATATGCTTGACAAGTGATTATCAAGCCCTTTTTATGTAGAGCTCTGGCAAGGGAGAGCCCACCACCTCCCAAGAGAACCCATATCACTAGTGGACGGCTCCTCCCTTTACTGAGCATGTCCCGCACTGTGTCTATGTGTGGATATGTGTGACTATGGCTAGACATCATCTTTTACCACTGTGTGAGCTAGTGACACAGAGTTCATCACCTCTCTGTTTGGAGACAAGTAGCATATTTCATCTTAATGTTTCTGGACTCGTGGTTTATCACCATGGTTGTTCAAGAGTTCTAAAGTCTTTCTAAGTTGTTTTTCTCTATAATGTGATCATTGTATAAATTGTTCTCCTGGTTCTGTTCACTCTGCCCTGTGCCAGTTCCCAAGTGTCATCCCAATTTCCTCTAAAATAGTCCATTTCATCATTTTTATGGCACAGTAATATTTCAGATTAAGTTGCTGACCTATATCTCTCCACTCCTTCCCTGTTAAATTGCATTGACACTCACTCCATCACACCCATTTCCTTACCATCCATTCATTCTTCACCCCCTTGCAAACTAGCTTTTGACTCCTCTACCCTCCTGAAATCACTTTCTCCAGAGTCACCTCTTAATTGCCAAATAAAAATTATCTTTTCTCAGTCTTCATCCCCCAAGACTTTTCTCCCCTTTCCAATCTATCCTCCATGCAGCTGCCAAATTGATATTCCCAGAAATGGACCATGACAGATCTGACCCTATCACTTCACTACTCAAGAGTCTTCAATGGCTCCCTTTTCCTTCTGGAACAACATGCAAACTCCTCAGCCTGAAATTTTAATTTCCTCAACTTGGTTTCCACCTAATTTTTTAGTCCTATTTCATATTGTTCCTCTTTACATATTCTTCTTTCCAATCAAACTGGCCTGACTGATGTTCTGTTTTGCCCTGAAACGCAGAAATGGGAGTAATGGGTGGTAGCTACCAAAAAAATTAAATTTCAATTTAATATCAAGAAAAGCTTCCTAGCAATTATAATTTCCTAAAATAGCATGGGCTGTGTCACTTACTGGTGGACTTCTCCTCACTGGAGGGCTTCAAGCAAAGGCTGCATAACCACTTGTCATGTCTGTTACAGTAAATACTCATTTCAGCTATGGGTTAGACTAGAAAATTGCTGAAGTCCCTTCCAAATGTCAAATAATTAATTCAGTACTCTACATTTTCCTGGTTTGGCCAAATCTTTTTAATTACTTGTATCCACAAGGGAAGACCAATGACATACAAGCAGATCTCACAACCATGTTCTCCCATAAAGCGGAGTATGGCTGACCAATTTAGAGCCTCACAACTAGGTTGCAGAGACAAAGAATAAGTAGGGGGTGGGGTGAGAGCTGAAAGATTAATGGGAGTAGAACAATGCTGAAAGAAGGAAGCACAGAGTTAGAGGGCTGATGAAGAGGTATGACTCGCAGGACACAGTAACCAAGTTGTGATTGAGGCATCCTAGGAACAAGTACTACAGGCTAAGTAGGTGCTTTCCCATTGTCCCGCCTAGTGACAGCATTCTTTCCTATGGCAACCTCTTTCCCTATAGTTTCTTCCTATTGGTAATCTACCCATAAGCCTTTGCAGTGATGTCAATCTTTCTAGAAGAACAACAAAATAAGACAGGAGTAGCAACTTGAACCACCTCCAGGGACTATGCTAGCCAGTTAGAGAATGTTTTCAGAATTTGAGTTGTCCTGGCCAAAGGAGCAGATGAATTAGTTTATGGGAAAGGGAGAAATTGCCCACCGAGGAAATCCCACCCCAAAGCTCAAATCAAGTGCTACCTTCTGACCCCAGTCCCAGCTGCCACTGCCTTCCTCCTCCTCCTGAAATTACCTTCTGTTTACCATTTCTATATGTTGTAGCTCCTGCTAATACGTGCATGTGTTACTTTCCCGGATAGGGTGTATGTAAGCTCCCTGAGGGTAGGGTCTCTTGTATACACCCCCTTGTGTTCTATGGCATGGCCATCACCTTGGTGCAGGCCCTCATCATCCCATACCTGGACTATTGCAAAAGCCTGCTGGCTAGTGTCCTTGTCTCGAGCTTTCTCCACTCCATTCTATCCTCCACTCAGCTGTCAAAGAGATTTTCCTAAAATCCAGATCTGACCATAATAAACTCCAGTGGCTTCCTCTGACCTCCAGGGTCAAATAGATTCTTCTGTTTAGAATTCAAAGCCCTTCATAACCTGCCTCCCCTCTCTGGTCTTCTTAGAGCTGACTGTCCTTCATCTACTCTGTGACCCTGGCCTCCTTGCTGATCCTCACAAGACCCTCCATCTTCAGACTCTGGGCATTTTCTCTGGCTGTTCTCCATGCTTGGACTGCTCTCCCTCCTCATCTCCACCTCCTGGATTCCCTAGCTTTCTTTAAGCCACAGAATTTTTTCCCAACCCCTAATTCTAGGGCTTTCCTTCTGCAACCAATCCCAACTTATCTTGTCTATATCTTGTTTGTACATAGTTGTTTGCATGTGGTATTTCCCATTAGACCGTGATTTCCTTGAGAGCAGGGGCTGGTTTTTGCTTTTCTTTGTATCCCCAGCACTTAGCACAGTGCCTGGCACACAGTATGTGCTTAATAAATGAAATTTGATGGATTGACATGTACTGCAGGTTGAGCAGGTGTTTTCCCATTGTCCTGCCTAGTGACAGCATTCTTTCTCATAGTTTCTTCATATTATGAATGCCTAGTCTATCCACAGGCCTTTGCGGGAATGTGAATTGTGGATGTCCTACCAGCACCTCAAATTCAATATGTCTGAGACTGAATCCATATTCCTTTTTAACCCCGCCCTCCCTAGAGTCATCTTTGATTTTTCCTTTGCCTTCACCCTCTGCATCTCATCAGTCTTGCTGATTCTACCTCTCCAACACCTCATACGTTACTGTCTTCATTCGTGTGTTCAGTCCTTCTGAATGGACAATGGTAATAGCCTCCTAACTGGTCTCCCTCTCTGCAGTCTCTCGCTGACTTCAATCCATTCTTTACACAGTTCTTAAAATAAGTCTGCTAAGGCTGAAGCCTGACCACATCACTCCCCTGCTCAAAACTCTTCAATGGCTTTCCAAGTATGATAGGGTAAAAAAAATACAGACTCCTTTGCCTGATGTTCAAGCCCCTCCACAAACTGGCTTTTCTTTGCTTTTCTGGCTTTATTTCATACCATTCCCCTTCATTTATCCAGTATTCTAGTCAGACTGGATTAGAGACTGTTCCCTGATCTCATTCTGTCCTTCCCTGCCCTACATCAACAGAGACCATTCCTCATGCCTGGAGTGCACCTTCCACCTCTATTTTTCTCTTGCTGAAAACCTCTTCTTTCAAGGTTAAGCTCAGGGACCACCTCTCCTCTGATGCCATACCCAGGGATCTCTCCTCAAACCTCTCCTTAGTACCTTGGGTCACTTTGTCGCCATCAAATGCTACCTTGGGTCATACTGGCTTGTACAGAAGTCCCAGCCTTCCCACAGATTGTCAGCTCCTTGAGAGCCAGATAATAGATTTGGAGTTGGAAGGAACCTTCAAGGTTATTGAGTCCAATCTCCTTATTTTATAATTGAGGTGACCAGAGAGTGACTTACCCAAGGTCACTCAGGTCATCAGCAGCAGAGCCAGGATTTGGGCCTAAGACCTCGAACTCCAAATCTAGCTCTCCTACTGCACCACAGTGAAGGGACTGAATTATTTCATTTTTAATGCACCCAGGACACTGTATGACCTCACAGCAGAGACTTTAATGTTTGTTGAATTGAATTGAATTGATAGAGTTTCTGCTATTCTTCAACCTAGGAAAGATGGGGGCTAGGGCTGATGCTGGCAAGAAAGGGGTCCTAACAGAAGAATAAGACCCTGGAGGCAGCTTTACCTAATTCACAACTTTGCCAAAGGTAACTGGTCCTGTGGGCATGATGGCATTTATTATGTGCTCTGTAAAGCCTTGGCAGTATACCAGTGGAGTTAGGGGCGCCACCCTAGCAAGGCTTCTGGACAGTAAATGACGATACACATTGAATGATCAGAAGTTCTGCTAGAACAGGAATTCAAGGTTAAAATAACTGGGAAATATAGTGGCTGGGGAGCCTTCTGATGGCCACTGATGGCCACTGGTGCCACCTGATGGCCAATGGTGGATCTGCACGCACCTGAAAGGCCTCCTACATCCATCTTCTTCAGGTTCTTGGCTTCCAGAATACAGACAGTCAATTTCCCAGCAGTGGGCACGTAACGGAGGGAAGTGCAGATGTCTCCAAGCTTTTCTGGCTGCCCAGTGAGGAAAAAACAAAATTCAGAGTCTCCCCTTCAGCTTGGAAGGGTCCTCCTAAGGACATTCTGCTCAGCTCTAGCAAGGGCTTGCCACTCACCTGGCCCAGACTAGTATGTGGGAAAGGCAGGGGAGGAGGGAAAGGTCTGTCTCTCCTAGGGAGCTCCTTCAGTCACTATTCCCTGAATTACTGACAAGCTCTTGCTTATATTTCAACTCAGTCTTTCTTGCTACAGTACAACAAAGCTATTGGTTAATAATGGCCTTTCCCACAGGAATTATTTATATCACAAGAGAGATACTTTGCCTAAACCTCTCATTTATATTTATCTCCATCTCTGATAACAATTATTTATGAAGAAGGAAGGAAGGAAGAAGGGAAAAGAAGGAAAGGAGAGAGAAAGGGAGGAAAGGAGAGAGGAAAGATGAAGGAATAGAAAGGAAGGAGGAAGGAAGAAGGGAAAAGAAGGAAGGAAGGAAAAGAGAGATAAAGGAAGGAAAGGAGGGAGAAAAAGATGGAGGAATGGAATAGGCAGAAACCAGAGATGAGAAGAATAAACATTAGGCTGTGATGGCAGGAATGGGTGATGGTCTTTAGACCACATGTTCCCAAGGCAGGCCTGGCCCTGAAGGATAATTGGGGCTAGACCCTGACTTGTAGCTATCCAGGACAGAGGGACAAATTATTTGTATGCTTTGGGCAAGGTTTCTAAATTGCATGGGCCCCACATTATTGTTATTGTTCACTGGAGTCGTGAACCTTCACCATAACACATATCATTTAAGTTATCACAAAATAAATACTTATGGGCCATGGAGAGCAGACTTTTCAGGCATTAGAAATATGTGCATTTGTAAATAGTCATATTTAAAAATGTTCCTCAGTTGGCCCCGGGTGTGTAGGTCCTAGGTGGCTGACTGCTTTGTTGATTCTTTAGACCACATGTTCCCAAGGCAGGCAAGGATGGGGGCATGGGGTGGGTGAGATTCAGAGCAAGGATAGGCTCCCTTCCTCCTCTTCTTTTCAATGAGCATTCTCCCTATCCAGACTACCTTGGAACTGGGTTCATTTCCATGGGCCTGGGTGTCCCATGGTCTCTCAGAGCCCTGGGGCATGGAACCTTGTCTGCATCCTCCCCCAGCCTATGCTGATCTTTCCCTCTCAGGTACCACACTATCTTGCACTTGACAATAGTAACAGCCCATGTTCCCATAATGCTTTAAGGCTTGCAAAGCATTTTCCTCACAACCACCCATAAGTCAAAAAGCGTAAGGAATATTATCCCCATTTTACACATAAGGAAACTGAAGGTCAGAAAGATTAAGTTACTTGCCCAAGATCACCGAACTTGCAAGTGCCTGGGCAGAGATCTGAATGCATGACTCTAGGTCCTCCTACCCTGGCTCCCACTTGTAACATTCTCAGCTCCATATGTGTACAGCGTATCTCCCCAGCTAGACTGTGAGCTCCTGACATCTGGAGGCCAGGATCAAGCTGGGGATTCAATTGTCTCAGTTTGCTCCTCTCCCTGGTACTGGCCTGGTCCTGGCCTTCTCTCTGCACCATCTTAAGTACAACATCGAAACTGGCCCAGGTTCTCCCTGCCTCACCTCTTCCTTCTCTCCACCCTGCAGGTCTCTCCATTCCTCGATGGGCTGGCCCAAGTCCACAGTGTTCATGGGCACCTTCACCTCCCCGATGATGTCGTGTTTAGAGAAGCGGTCAAAGTCGTAGATGGCCATCACCAGCGTCTTGCCCCCTAGCTCCTGGTAGGGCACCTGTAGGACATGTCAGGGCACAGACAGGTGGAGTATTGTAAGGAGTCCGAGTTCTTGGGGGCAATGATGATGAGAGGAGGGCCTGCATCATTGCCCCCAAGATGTCCCCAGCTCAACCTAAAAGTCATAGAGTTTGGTGAGAAAAGGACCCTGATCATAGGATCATAGGGTTAGGGTTGGACAGGATCTAGGAAAGCAGAGGAAGGCTAAGATGGGCAGGGGGCCCTCAAATCTTTTCAGGGGCTATAACAATATGCTGACCACTGGGAAAGAGCAGGATAGTAGCTGAGGGTTCATTGATCCCAAACAAATTTTTCTGGGCTGGGTTAGTCCCAGATGGAGCTAGAAGTCAGGTATTTAGGTGATAAAATACCAAATCTCTGAATTACCCATTTGTGAATTCTCTGCCCATGATCCTATGAGTTGTATTCTTAGGAGTAAATCAAAGAGGGAAAGAAGGGAAGGACCTGGGAAAAGGAGATTCTCAAGCTCACCTTGAAGGTGAAGGTCTCATTGAAGGCAGGATTCAGTGTCTTCCTATGGACCTTGGTCTCATATTTCTTCTTCTTGTCTGGGAGGAGGAAGACTTTGACATAGGGGTCTGAGGTGCCCCCCATGTCCAGAGCAGGGAGCTCAGCTGCCTGAAGGACACCCACGGTCAACTGTGGAGAGAAATAAACCCATTTCTCAGGCCTGCTCCAACATTCTCACACTGCCTATTTCCACTAGCCCCTGGTTTGGAAGTTTATTATGAGAGCTTGGTCTCAGGTCTCTAGAGGCCTTCTCATTCAGTCCTGTGCCCTAGGGTGGCACACGACTCCCAGAAGAGACCAGCCACATTACCAGAAGGTTAGCACAGTATCCAGGGGCTCTACTGGTCCCCCCCACCTGACAAAGAGCACAGAGTGTAGGTTTCCCCAGTTAGCTGTGACCCTGGGGTCAGGCTCACCCTAGTCCCTTTTCCTATGTCCTCAAGCCTTCCTCCATCTTTCTCTGACTCGGAATCATAGGAGCATAGAAGGCCAAACCTAAAAGGGGTCTTGCTGATCACATAGCCCAGATGGTCATAACCCCAGGCCCTTCAGCCTGACCACACAGCCTCAAGTCTGTGTTTTTCCTATTCTGTGCCCATGTAGGCCTAAATCTCAACCCACTAGTATGATAATAAATAGTTAACAACTGGCTCTCTGAAGGAAAAATGTACGCAGTAGACATTTTTAGTTTAATTTACATTATTTCTCTCTATCACATTCTTAAGTCTAGAAAATCGGTGAAATAAATCAAGACCCAACTGGTAACATTTGCTGTTTTCCAAGGTGTAAATGCTCAGACTGAAAATTTAACAATGGGCTCTAGGATCTAGCATAGCCCTCCCTTTTATCCACCTTTCCACTGCCTCCCTCCAATCCCTGAGCACCTGGTTAGCCTGGAAATCATAGTCCAATGAAAACTGCAGTTTGCCCAAGTTTTCTGGTTCTTTCTCTTCCTCTCCTTCACCTTCTCCTTCTGTCAGGCCCGTCTCTGCATCATCATCATCCTGGACAAGCTAGAAGACAGAATAGCCCAGCTGAGTACAATGGGAGAACAGTGGAGGGCATCTCCTCTTTTTCCCTGGGACCCAGTCATCATCTGGATGGAAAGGAAGAATCCTCTGGGGGAGAGATGGGATTTTCCCCAGGACTTTGGGAAGCTTCTCCATAGGTGCTTGAGCAAGGGGAGGTCCTAGTCTCATGGCTCCCACTTGAACCCCATCCCAAATCTTGAATATTCCATCCAGTAATTTGCTAGTAAATGTTTAAAATTTGGCTCTTTGTGGGGGTGGGGTGGGGATATAAACAGGACACACTTAAATTTAGTCTGAATTATTAATATTTTTCCATTGATTTCTTAAGTCTAGACAATCAACAAAACAATAAATCAAGTCCTGATTTGTAGCATTTTGCTGAATTTCAAAGTATAATGCCCACATTGAAAATTTAACAGTTGACTCTGGCTAGCTGCTATAAGCTGCCTTTGTCACACAATAACTCCCTGGAATTTGAGATTGATAGAATTAAAAGCTGGACAAGATCCACTAATACATCTCCCTCATTTTGCAGATGAGGAAAGTGAACCCCAGAGAAATTTGACAACTTGCTGAAGGTCGCAGAGTAGTAGAACCAAGATTTGAACCCAGATCTTCTGAAATCAAATCTAGTGCTCTTTCTATCTTCTGGATAACCTCCATACTGCCCCTTTGTTCCTCTCCTACTGCCCTCCTCCCTCTTCAATTCCCTCTCCAAAACCTTCTCTGAGTTAGGCCCTGTATACACTCAAAAAGACATACCATGAATGCCATCCAGACCAGGCAATGGATTGGTGGGGAGAATTCCATGATGACAGGAGAAGAAAGAGAAAAGCCAGGTTAGAGAAGTCCCCCATCATAAAGATTAATGCTTACCAGCTGACTAGTCCTACCAGCCAGCCATCCTTAGAGAGATCAGGCTGGGGTCCAAACACAGCAGATTTGGAGAAATGTCTCCTTATGAGAACATCCACTGGAAACCCCTCTAAAAGACTTGGCACACAAATGCATACGTGCATACATACACACACACAATTCTCTACTCTACCCACATCTTCATTTCTTCCCTGCTTTGATCCTAAATTCTTTGAATATTGGAATTATTTCCACCGCAAAATTGGGTAAAATTGAGAACCAGGGATCTATAAAAGTCTGCCCAGGACTCCTGAGCAGGCCTGGAAGAGAACTCTAAGCATTTAAACAGACATACCAAGAATCCTTGCAGGTTCTGGAACATAACTAGGTAAAATCTATTCTAGAAGGTAACAAAAATAGAGGCATATTTGCCCTGAATGTTGCCCTATTCCTACTAGGATCATTATTTTAAAACAAAGAAATAAACAAGTCCCTGCTGCGTGCAAGGCACTGAGCTGGGTGATGGGGACGTAAAGACAAAAATGAACCAGTCCCTTTCTTCCAGAAGCTTTCACTCTCCTCTTCTCCTCCACATCACCCCATTTTGCTCTGGGCTGTACTACTTTGGGACTTCCTCGATTGACTTCTTCACCATGCCCCCAAATCAGGTACATCCCTCCCCACCCCACTTTCCAGCTTCCTTTTGCGCAGTCTTTCCCCATTAGACTGTAAGCTTCTTGAGGGCAGGGACTATCTTTCTTTTTTCATATTTGTATCCTCAGAGCTTAGCACAATTCCTGGCACATAGTAGGTGCTCAATAATTGTTTATTGATTGATTACTTCCTATCTGAGGAACTGTCATTAAAGTCCTCGCTAAAATGTTGTTCAAATCAGATAATCAGTGCTATACAAATGTCAGTTATTATTGTTTTATTAATATTGCTTTGCATGTGAAGAGCTCTTTACAGATTTTTATCATCAGAGGGTATCATGGGATACTCACAACAGCCCTTTGAGGTAGGCATGACAAATATCATTATCCCCGTTTCACAGATGAGGAAAATAGAGGACCTTTGAGGGGTGAGATGATTAGTAAATGACAGAACTGAGGCAAGGACCCCGGCCTTCTCACTCCTAGGGCAATGCTCTGCCACTTCTGAAAGTCAAACTACCTTCTGAAAGTCAAGCAGGAAGGACAAGGGTCACCAGATGATGCCCTCTTAAAGGGTTTTCCTTCTTGTCCAATAGTTTGTCTTTGTGACCCAAGAGATACTTTAGGGACAATATATCACCCTCTTTCTTTTAAAGTTAGGGAAGCAGGAGGGAATTTCATGGTCTTCTACCCTGTGATTGGCCCATAGGAGTCCAGGCTGGCAGAATTATTTTTTCCCTTTAGCTGATTTGATCTTCTGGGTGATAATGTTCATGGAACCAAGGCAACTGATTTGGGAGGCAAAGCAATAACAATAATAATGAGAAAGGGAAGGAAATAAGTATTTATTTAGTACCTACCATGCGCCAGACACTATGCTAAGCACTTTTTTTTTTTTTTAACAAATATTACCTCATTGGATCCTGAGGCAAACAGAGTTTAGGTGACTTGCCCAGGGGCATACAGTTAAGTAAGCATCTGAGGCCAGATTTGAACTCAGTTCTTCTTGATGCCATGTCCAACATTCTACGTCCACCATGCCATCTTGCTGCCTACTATGACCCCATGTGTCAACCTCACTTCCCCTCATTGGCTTGAGATTTCTTCTTTTTAAGGAGTGGGATATTAAGAAAATATCCCAGACTAGTTTGAACTTCCTGGTAGGATGCTCTGTCCCAATGAACAAGATGGCATCTCCATGCCCCTTCCCCTTCCCCTTGCAGGTGCCATACCTGACCTCCTTTCATGTCCTTCATGTTCATGGCGTTTTTCATGCCTTTCCCCTTCTCCTTCTTGTTCTTTTTCTTCTTACAACAGCATTTCTTGCAGATGCAGAAGCAGCAGGTGAGGAGGAGGAGGCCGGCGACCACAGCAATGGCGATCAGTGCCCATGGAGGTACTGCATGCACATAACATGCCACAAAAGCTTGATAGTCGCTGAGCCCCTTTGCCCGGAAGGGGCACCTTTCCCCCTCGATGGTGCCCTGCCTGCATCCAGGGGTGCTATCATCACAGAGCTAATCCTAGTTCCATTCCTCTGCAGGCTTCCAGTGACCGTATTTCCCAAACCAAACATTGGAATGCACCGTCTAACAAAGGATTTGGGATGGAGGTGAAGGTTTATGGGGACAACAAGGCAGAATATTTCACTGAACTACAGAGTCTCAGAGTTGGGAGGGCCCTTCGGGGTTACCCATTCCAACCCATACATGAGCAAGAATCCTCAATAAATGGTCTTCCATCCAACCACTGCTTAACCTCAAGTAAGGGGGAGCCTGCTATGACCTAACACGGCCCATTCCAATTTTAGATAGCTTTACTCGTTAGTCAGTTTTTGCCTGTATCAAGCCTAAATCTGCTACTCTGCACCTTTTATTCACTCCCAGATTTACCCTTGGATCATGCAAAACTAGTCCACTCCCTCTTCCACATGACACACTTGAAGAGAGCAATCGTGTTCCTCCTAAATCTTTTCTTCTCAGGCTAACCATCCTCAGTTCCTTCAGACAGTCCTGGTATGGGATGGTTTGAAACTGGGAGCAGCTGGGAAAATCTGACTCACAGTCTTTCTACTATTTATTCCCCAAAGCTATTACTTCTCTACTCTTCCACCACCCTCCATAGTGACTTGCATTTCATTTGCATGAACTGCTTTTAATGATACCCAACCCCCTGCTCTTTCCTTAGCCCAAACCCCTATAGCCTCAGTAGATGAGCAGAAGAATACTTGAAAAAATCATTCCTCAGCATTCTGCCTAGGGACACTATTTCAACTGAAGAGATGTGTCAGAAATCCACATACTAACCCTATAAAGGGAATATGGTGGCTTTTGTCAGAATCAGCAACGGAAGAGACCCCTTCCTGAGAGTGGTCCCAGGTCAGCCTTCCACCCTCATTTGGAGAGGATTAACCCAGAGACCTAGAATCTTAGAGATTCTAAGGACCTTAAAGGTCACCTAGACCCACTTCCTACTCAGTTACAACCACAGTGCGGTCCCGCAGCCTAAGAAACCCCCATGGTCAAAGACCAGAGTCAAGTCTAAAAATCAAAAAAATGTCCCAGACCACCATGGTGGTCTGGGACAAGTCACCATGGACTTCTGAGGGTTCCCCAACACAAATACCCTCATGGCTTCCATCTGCATGGTCCCTCCCCATGCCATGGTCACATCTCCTCCCCTCTCCCCATCCCAGGAGATACTCACAAGGGATCTTCTGGATCTCATTGAAGAATTTATCCTTCAGGTGGTTGAACAAATCCTCTTCAGTTGGCCCTGCACCCCTACTCTCTGTGGAGTTGTCTGGAGGCCCCGCAGGAACGACTGGCATGGTGGCCGTGGTGGCAGCAGGAGCCACGATGGGCTCCTGGTTCCTTTTGAAGATATTCCGCATGGTGACTCAGTTGATAGCTGAGGATACACAAAGGATTCTCATGAGCCTCTCCATTTGGGTTTAGGAGAAAATGCAAATGAAGAATAATAACAGTAATGCAGACAACAGATGCAAAAGCTACCAAGCAAAATGCTAGTGTTTTATGGTTACAAAATGCTTTCATACATATTCTCAAGTGACCCTCACAACAACTCATTAGATAATTTCCCCATTTTCCAGATGAGGAATCTCAAATCTAGTAAGTGGAAGAACCAGGGCTCAAATCTGGGACTTTTGATCTCAAGTCCCATGCTCTCTCCACTAACCTACTCTGCTCCCCTTCCCCCCACCCCCCCCCCAGCCAGTACAGCAATACCTACTTTTTGAAGTGCCTTCACATGTACTCTTTGCACTTTTTTTTTTTTTTTTTTGCTTTTTGGTAAGGCAATCAGGGTTAAGTGACTTGCCCAGAGTCATATAGCCAGTAAGTGTCAAGTGTCGGAGGTCGGATTTGAACTCAGATCCTCCTGACTCCAAGGCCGGAGCTCTAACCACTGCGCCACCTAACTGCCCCAACTCTTTGCATTTTTACTCCTGATAAACCTGCGTGAGAGAGGGCAGACAACACCGCTGATCACCCCTTTCACCTTGAAACTCTCCCCTTCCTTGGTTTCTGTTATGCCACTCTTGTTATCTCCCTGCCTCAGGCATCACCTTCCAGAACCACTCCTTTGCCTTCTGCAAATAGAAGGGTCTACTCTAGCTTGGCCTGCAGCCCAAAGGTCTCCCAGTCCCCAGATGTGGCCTTATTAAGCATGAGAGTGGCAGAAAGAGTGTGTTCACCCCAGGGGTGTGCTAGAGCCAACTCTCACTTGCCAGTTGTTAAATCTTCAGTGTGATTATCTGCACCTTGGGGAAATCAGCAAACACTACCAATCAGTACTTGATGGATTGGTTTGTTGATTGACTAGCCTTAAGAAAGTGATGGGGGAAATGGTAATAATGGATTAAGCTCAAACGTGTGTCCTGGACTAGACCACGACTGTTTGAGAGTCAGGTAACACTGGAAATTATTGGGAATGGAACCATATTGAAAATCACTGGGACCAGAGCTAAGGGGTATGGTCCCAGCTATGACTGTTGTTGTTCAGTTGTTTTTCAGTCATGTCCTACTCTTTGTGACCTCATTTGGGGTTTTCTTGGCAAAGACACTGGAGTGGTTTGCCATTATAAATTAGAGGTCCAGCAAGACTGAAGATGAGAAAAAAAAAAAAGACTGAAGATGAGAAATAGAAGCATTTTAAAGCCAGGGAAATTATCATGACTTAGAAAGACACATAACTCAGTTCAATTCAATTCAACAAACATATTTTCTAATAGAATGTAAATTTCTTGAGGGCAGGGACAATTTTTGGTTTTGCTTTCTATCTCCAATGATTAGCGTAGTGTCTGGGATATAGTAGGCCCTTAATAAATGCTTGTCGATTAATTTGTTGATGTTTAAATACAAGCAAGGCACTGGGAACACCAAAATAAAAATGAAATAATTCTTGGCCTCAAGGATCTTTACTTTATCTTGGGGGGAGGGGAGGGGCTACAACATGCACACAAAACAATTAGAAGTGGGAAAGAGCACTAATAATTTGGGGAGGCAGGTCAGAAAAGGCTTTTCATAGGTACTGACATCTAAAAAGAGCCTTTAAAGAAGTCCAGGATTGTAGGTGACTGAGGTTAGGAGGGAGTATATTCAAGTTTTGGGGGTTTTTTTTACAAATATTATCTCATTTTATAGTCACAACAGTCCAGCAAGGTAGGTGCTGTTATTATCCTCATTTTATAGTTGAGGAAACTGAGGCATACTGAGGTTAAGTGATTTGCCCAGAGTCACACAAATGTCTGAGGCTGAACTTGAACTCAGTTCTTCCTGACATCAGGTCCAGCATTTTATGTACTGTGTTATCAACTTCCTCTATCTCTGAAAGCAGAGATAGGAAGAGGAACGTCAAATTTGGGCCACATCTAATAGAGCATATTGACTGGAATTCAGAGCTCATAAAGTGGAATAATATTAAATAAGCCTACAAAGAGAGGTGAGAGGCAGATTGTGTAGAGCCTTACTTGCCAGTCTGAAGAATTTGTATGTTATCCTAGAGATAATAGGAACCATTAAAGCTTTTTGAACAGAGGACCAGCATAGACAGACTGATATCTAAGGGATGGCTTCATAGAAGATAGGTTGGAGAGGGGAGAGACTGGAATCAAGAAGACCAATTAAAGGACCGTGGCAATAATCCAGAACACCCTGAGATTAAAGTCTTCTTTTCCTCTAAGGAGGCAAAGAAATCAGGGTCACTAGAGAGCTGAATCCTTCTTCAGACCTGCACAGTCTACACGACTCACAGAACCAGGGAAGGGCAAGTCTGCCTTGCTGCTAGTTATAGCACTGTGCCTTGTTATTACTCAGTTCTATGGTCCCTAGCTTAAACCAAGTCCTTGGCTTAGGACTGGAATTTATTTACTCGTTTCATTACTTTGAAATGTTAACAAAAGGGAGCCAGTATGAGCTGCCCCCAGGACACCCTGGAGCAAACACACTCTGCTGCCTTCAACCTGAATGAGACCCTATCTGGAGACCTTTGTGCAGCAGCCCGAGGTACAGCAGAGCCTGCAAGAATGGACAGTATTTGCAGAAGGCCAAAGAATGGTTTCAGAGAAGGTGATGGGTGTCAACTGTGTCCTTTCTGCTACCCCACCCTCTCCCCTAATACAGTTCCTGGTTTTTAAAGTGCCTTCACATACAGGCTTCCATTTTAACCTGCCAATAAATCTGAGGGATACAGGGTAGACACACTGTTGATCATCCCTTTCACCTTGAAGGTCTCGTTCCTTGGCTTCTGAGATTCCTGTTGCCACAGAAAATCCAGCACCTAGGCTGCCAACTTACATGCCCAGCAAATAAGCACTTCATAAATGCGCGTGCTCTCCCTGTCTCTCCCCTCCCCTCCCTCTCTCTGCTTCCCTGTGTCTGTCTTTGTCTCTCCTCTGTGTGTGTGTGTGTGTCTGTCTGTCTGTCTGTTGGTCTGACCCTCTCTCTCTCCTTCTCTCTCTATGACTATCTCTCTGTCTCTCTGTTTCAGTCTCAGTCTCAGTCTCTCTGTCTCTGTCTTTGTCTCTGTGGGTGTGTTTCTGTCTCTCTCCTCTCTCTGTGTCTCTGTCTCTATTTGTTTCAGTCTCAGTCTCAGTCTCTCTGTCTCTGTCT